TAGCGCAGCATAACATAGCATAGCGCAGCTTAGGCAAAGCAAAAAAACAAAATCAAGCAAAAGCAACAAACAAAAGCAAAGCAAAAGCAACAGCAAAAGCAAAAGCAAAAGCAAAGGCAAGGCAACGCAAAGCAACAGCAAAACCAATGCGAAAGTGTATGTGTAGATGTAGATGTAGGTGCAGGTGTAGATGTGGATGTAGGTGTAGATGTAGATGTAGATGTACATGTAGGTGTAGATGTAGGTGTAGATGTAGATGTAGATGTGAGTCTCGCTGTTGATGTTGATGTAGATGTAGATGCAGGTGTAGATGTTAATGTAGCTGTCGGTGTAGATGTCGATGTTGCTTTCCTAGATGCTCCAACTCCTAGGTAGGGTCGCACTGGGATCATGTTTTTGAAGCCAGCTATTCTCTTCAGGTTTTGAATTGCCAAACGATGTGTTCGAGCTTGGCATTCATCTCATTGCGTTTGATGGCCCTTGTCTGCCGCATGACTTGCTTGCTGAGGGACCTTCTGGTAGCTGGGTCCCTTGGTGAAGTAGTGCGTCGTTGTTGGATGAGTGTTTTGAGCCGTGCTGTCGGACCGTCGTCGGGGATATCCGGAAGGTCTCTGGTGTTTTTCTCGTGGCGTTCCTGGTAGACCTTGATTACAAGCTTGAGCCCTTCTCCGATGTCCCGGCATCTGCTGTCCAGGTCGGCGTCGAGAAGCTGGTTTACCAGATGCTCTTGAAGGCACTGCTGGAAGAGAGGGTCGTCAGCTGCAAGTTGGGAGCGCCTGTGGTGGCGCGTTTGCTTGTGTCCCCTCTTCCTTCTCGCCCGTAGTCCTGAATGCCAACTTGATGTGCACTGCTCGGTGGTCGGAGCCGAGATCTGGGACGTTGGAGGCAAACGAATCAGTCGCCTCGTTGCGACGTGCTCTGTCTATCAGGATATAGTCAATGTGTGTCTGAGTCGGCTGTTTGCCACTGCTCGTGTAAGTGAAAATGTTGTGGTGCTGCTTGTAGAAGAGAATGTTTGCAATGATCGTCTTACGTGTGCTAGACCAAGTACGGAGCCATGTTCCTCGCGGGTTGCACGGGCCCAGTCCGAACTTGCCTACCGTGTTCCTCTGGTTCAAGGTCTCGGATCGTTCGTCGTCGTCTTGGCCGCCGTCGTTATTGTCAAGGTGTCTACCAACCTGTGCATTGAAATCCCCCGTAATGATACATGTCCGCTTGTCTTGGATAGCGGCGGCGTGCAATGAATCCAAATGGCCGTACATGTGCTGGATACGCCGTCACGACTTTCATGTTCTGTTCTGGGATGTCGATGTCGGTGTAGGCGATTCGCTCGTTGACGGCCCCGAAGCATCTGACATGCCGGACGCGTTGCCTATGAACGAGAAATGCAACTCCTCGCGACGTGTCTGTTTGGCAGGATGCTGAAAACAAATGGTTGCCACGGCTTGTGATCCACATCTCGCGAGATTCACTTCTCCAAGTCTCGTTGATAGCAAGAACATACCAGTGTACGTCATTCAATTAATGCAACAACTTGTCTATGGAATCGTCCGTTGTAAGACTTCGCACATTCTTGTGGATAATGGTAAACGGTTGGGGTGACAATGGATGTGATGCTCGATTTTGCTGATTGTGCTCTTTCTCGTCGCCGTCGTTGCTTTCCCGTGGGCGATTTCTGCGCATGCTGATGGGAACGTCGCCATCCGCCGTGCTATGTTTTCCTCGTCCTCCTCCAATGCTTCGTGAATCGGTCTGTGTAGGTGGAAGCGTGGAGTCGGGTGACAGAGGCTGAGGGTCGGAATGCTGTGATGGCACTGGCTGGACGTCGATTCGTGGAGGTGGAAGTGGAAAGTCGGATGTTGAAGGCCGGTGGTCGGGGTGCTGAGTTGGTGGAGGCTGGATGTCGATAGATGGAAGTGTTGTTGTGGATTCGGTTGCTGGAGGCTGGTGGTCGACAGGTGGAGGTGGAGGTGGAAAGTCGGATGCTTGAGGCTGGAGGTCGGTGTGCAGAACTGGTTGACGCTGGAGGTCGACAGGTGTAGGTAGAAGTGGAAAGTCGGCTTCTGGAGGGTGGACGTCGGGGTGCTGAGCTGGTTGACGCTGCAGGTCGATGGGTGGAGGTGAGGGTGGCACGTCACATGCTGCTGGAGGCTGGGGGTCGGAGTGCGGAGCGGCTGGACGCTGGACGTCGATAGGCGAAGGTGGAGGTGGAAGCTTGGATGCTTCAGGCTGGAGGTCGGAGTGCTGAACTGGTCAACGCTGGAGGTCGGTGGGTGGAGATGGAGGTGGAAAGTCACATGCTGCAGGAGGGTGGAGGTCTGAGTGCTGAGCTGCTGGACGCTGGTTGTCGATAGCTGGAGGTGGAGGTTGAGGTGGAAAGTCGGATGCTGGAGAGTAAAGGTCGGAGCGCTGAGCTGGTCGACGCTGGGGGTCGACGAGTGGAGGTGGGGGTGGAAAGTCACATGCTGCTGGAGGGTGGAGGTCGGAGTGCTGAGCTGCTGAACGCTGGTTGTCGACAGCTGGCGGTGGAGGTGGAAATTCGGATGCTTGAGGCTGGAGGTCGGAGTGCTGAGCTGGTCGACGCTGGAGGTCGATGGGTGGAGGTGGATGTGCAAAGTCACATGCTGCTGGAGGGTGGAGGTCGGAGTGCTGAGCTGCTGGACGCTGGTTGCTGACAGGGAGGGCGGAGGGAGGGGGGGAGGGCGGAGGCAGAGAGGAGGAGGAGGAGGAGGAGGGAGAGGAGGAGGAGGAGGAGGAAGAGGAGGAGGAAAGGCAGAGGCGTGAGGTTGTGGAGCAAGTGACGAGGAGGAATAGGAACGCGGGAACGCAGCTTCGCGCGGCCGTCCAGAGGCGGACAAACGGCGGCAGACGCGGCCCCCAAGGGCCGCGGCAGCTTCAGACGACGACGATATGGAAAAGCCAGCCCCTCCTGTCAGCGGCAGCTCGCGTGGCTCGGCGGACATCTCGATGAGGGGTGCCGCCATAAACGCGATGCCGCCGCCCGCGGAACACCCAGAGCGCGCTCGAGAAGAGCGGTTCCCTCAGCATCCTGCAACTGTTGCTGCTCCGACGCCACCTCTGCTCCGCCAGCCACCGCCGCCGCCGCCGAAGCCGAGGGCTTTGCGGCATGCTCCGCCAAGCCAGCTGCAGCAGCCTTCTGACGCCGCCTCCGCGACCGCGGAGGGCGCGCGTCAGCCGCCCAGGAGTCGTCGACGAGGATGTCGCCGTAGCCGCCTCCCCGCGCTCCAGAGCACGCCGCCCAGCACGGCGCTGGCGGCGCCGACAGCGCCGCTCCCGCTTCGCCTCCGAGGAAACGCGCGCCGGAGCAGCAGCCGCAGGCTTGCGGGGCACCGCGCCGTCGTCGGCAGCATGCGGTTGCTTCAGCGTCGACGCAGCAGTGACAGCCGCGCGGACACTGCAGAACGCGCGACCGCTGCCACCGCTCGCCGCGAGGCACGGCCATCCGCTGGAGGGGGAGAAAACGGGACCATGCCCAAGACTGAACGCGGAAACGTCGTGCCCATCCTACTCAACGTCGGTCTTGGTCAGCGCCAACTCGTGGATTCTCCCCGCGAACCAGCGACGGCCGACGTGGACCATGATCCAGATCGGCACTAGTAGTAGTAGTAGTAGTAGTAGTAGTAGTAG